ATAAGTTACAAAAATCCCAGGTCTTCAGCCATGCTTTAGAGATGTAGCATTACTGTATAGAACCTGCAGGATTAAGGCTCTTCGGAAACGGCTACATTTTGAAAATAATGCAAAATTGCAACATCCTCCATTACTTAATTTTCAATTTATTAGAAATAGAAAGATCAGAACTAATACATTGAAAAATACTGCTTACAATGGTTTGCGATTTACATCAAATTTGTACATATAGAATGTCAGGCTTTGCAAGTCAGCTATAGAGCAGTGTATTTACAGGCTCTTTAAGAAGCAATGGTCTGAGCAGAGGTTGAAATGTAGGTTTTTCTAGTTGTATATAGTTTCTTGACACAACCTGGAAAAATCTTCTAGAAGTGTGTTATCTTACAACTAGAACAACTGCTACACCTGACTGTGGGTAGTGTACCCTGATGCTCACAATCTTTTCTTCCAAAGTTTTCTTGAAGTAAAGCATTCACACAGTTTTTCTGCATACACCACAAAATGAACCTGATTTGCTGAAACACCTGGACAGCTGAGCCCTTTCACTTTTTGTTGCCACATTAATATTAAATGGCTCTCCGTCTTTAATAAGGGGACAATGTGCCAATGGTACAGTTGATCGCAGCTAATTGCATCATGCGAAATTATGATACATTCACGTTGTATGCACGTTTTGGGATATGGTTTTAACATGTCAGAAGACGTCTTTAAACATTTCCACACAAACTGAACATTTTAGGCAACGAGATAAGGAAAGAAAAATTTCAGTTGATGTCAGATTTACTCTAAAAGTAAATCTGCCTGGGATAATTAAAACAATTTCTACTACAATAGTTCCAGGAGACCAAGGCAGAGTTTTATTTTCAGAAGATGTGTTTGGTAACACTTAACTTAAAGGTGGCTAAACAACACTGTCAGAACTCCTTCATAAACACTACAAAGCATAAAAGCCTTAAAGCTGGGGTGGGAAACGTCCGGCCTGCGTAACCTGGCGATAATTCGATAACGATAATTATCGC